GAGCCCGGGGCGAGCCCGGGGCAGGGCCCGGAGCGCGGCCGGCCAGCTGACCGTCGCCTCGGTTTGTTTTGTTTTCCCCTGCTGCTTCCGTCGGTTTCCTCCCTGGAGGCCTCCCGATGAGTTAAAATGGTGCTGAGGCTCGAGGGGAGCTGGTCGCTGCTCGTAGGGAAGAGGTTCCTCAGCCTGTCGGAGGAAGACGGCGGGCCCTGGGACACCAGCCGCATCTTGGAATGGCCCTGGAAGTCGGGCAGGATCCGAGCGGTTTCGCACACGGACATATCCAAACAAGACCTGAAGGTAACCGGGAACTTTCAAATAGAGCCTTTAAAACGAGAGTGCTTACCCTGTGACCTGGAAGCTTCATGTGCGTGCACACGTGTGGGTGCGTGTATGCACACGTGTATATATACACGTTGTTGCTGGGAGATGGAGAGGTCTTCTTGGTCAACTTGCCTCCTTAACGTGCTTAAAAATGTATGCACCTCTAGCTGAAGCCCCCAGTGGGCTTGTACTAGTGCCAGAAATAACCTCAAACTAATTATAAGCGTGCTTTCTTCCACCAGCAGTTTGAAAGCTTAAGGTTTTTATTGCACCCGCTGTGCCTACGTTTTCTTTCTGTGTGTTTCCTAAGTGGAATTTATGGTCTTGTCAGTTGTGAATGATTTTTTTTTTTCCCAGAGATGAAATGTCTGAAATCAAAGCATTACTGTGTTGTTGGGAGTTGTGACTTTTCTTTCTTGATCTTTTGGGGTCCTTCAACTGTCTTGAATGACATGTCAAATTTATGTGTGGCGTTGGAGGTCTCTCGTATTCTCCTTGCATGGTGGCCCAGTCTTAATTTCCAATGTGCTTTTTCTTTTAACATGTACACTTCATAAATTACACTTCCAATAATTAATAACATTTTGGGTGGAAGTCAAGCGACTTTCACAGTTTGAAGTTCTTAAAGGGCTCTTTGGCAACTGTAGTCAGTAAAACTGTTGAAGCATGTCTGGGCAATTGCTCTAGTGTACAAAGTACTCGCTAAGGACAAACTCCATTATAGTAACGGCATCTTGTTACATGGTCCTCTGATTTGTTTCTACAAGGGACTTTGGTGGGCTGGTCTCTTGACAGCAAGAACACCACCATCCTTCAATTAAAAGTATATTTTTGCCTTTTTTATACTGGTAAGAACTTTGTGATCTCTAATTAACTGAAGAATTATCTGCTCCTTGTGAAACTAAAAGGAATCGTATGTGTTTCTCACTCTTTTTTGGAAGTGTAAACTTTGTTATGAAGAGTCCCGAGCTGTTAGAGGCCGAGCTTCTTGTTGTGGCTCTGCGGGAGGGGTGGAGCTTTCTCCATCTTTGGCTGGTGGGGCTGTGCCCATGCCATACTTGGAGCGAGGAGGAGGACTTGGCTGCTGCAGGAAGCTCTTCTTAAGGACCTTCTCTGGGGCTTAAAAGGAGAAGGAGCAGGTGCCGTTGGGGACTGTACTGGGAGCTTTGCAACTCGTTACGGTGCTGCCAGAAGCAATTGACTTAATTCATTCTCTAATAAAAGTGCTAAAGAAGTTGCAGAGCAAACAGTTGAGGCACGTAGAGCTTTTGTTCCAAAACACATGCCACTTCTTTCCTCTCACGGCTTTGTGGAAGAGTAAAGTGTAGTTAGACCCCAAGTAGTAATGGATTAGGGGAGAAAAATGTATCTAAAGGAGTAGAAATATTTAATCTTTCAAACTTTGCGTTTCGGATGGTGTCAGGAGCAAGCTACAGCACAGAGGGACTGTCAACTGCTTCTGAGAGTATTTTCTCAGCTGTGTTTCCTGTTTGCCTGGTGTTGATGCTGTAAAGAACGCAAGCTGTCCTGGTACTTGTGTTACTTGCTTATCTCTTGTTGTTTCTGGGAACTCCAAAATGACTAATTTCTGCACCCATTAGTTTAGCAGCTCCTGCCTGTGGTGACACTGCCATGTGCATGCTTCTACTTGCCTGTCCCTTTAGAGAGAAGTTAAGCAAAGAGATTCACTCAGCTGATCTTTCCCTGCTGTTAGGGTAAATGAGTTAAGTGCACTTAGACTGCATCATTATATTTTATGCAAAGAAGGAGTGATTTTTCTGAGATTAATGCTCTCTACCAAGAAACTCCAATTCCTGTATTCAGACGAAGTTGTATTTGTGGTCTTTCCCAATCCTTTGCTGATCTCCCTATGTTTCCTGTGGAAGTAGGGTAGTGCAATTCCAAAGACATTAGTCAAGCCATCATGTTCTTGCCATGAAGTGACAACTGCTTTCCTCTTGAGAAGTTTGTGTAGATGTTTCAGAGATTAAGTACCAGCTAGAAGGAGGCAGAAAACTACCTTCTTTACTTTATATTATTTGATCATTTGTACTGGCTTACTGTCATTTGTTCTTTCAGTAAATTAAATTTATTCTTTGGGATTCTTAGTCTTAAAATATTTCTGGAAAAGCAGCTTGTTTATTTGAGTACTCTAGAATATTGTAAAGTGGAAAATTTGTGGGAAGTACATGTGCCATGACTGTATACAGTCCTCTAAAGTTTGGGGGTGGAAGGGAGGGTTGTTGTGGATTTTCCTGATTGTAAACACTGGTGACAGAGTTAAGACTTTAATTGCCCTCGAGCAGAAGAGAACTTTTGGGGATACAAAGGCTGTAGAGTTAAATAAGATTATTAATATTTTATGTGACAGTAGTGATGACAAACCAGTGAATATTGACTGTCACCTATGAAATACTAGTTCAGCCTGAGATCCCTCAGTGATTGCTTGATTGTGTGACAGGCAATAACCATGTTGGTGTTATAAGTACTTTTGATGAATTTTTTGGTGAGTTTTTTAGGGCTTGTTTATTCTTTTTCACATTGTATGTGGCTGAATTTTATGGTTAGTCACATCTTCACTTTGTTTCCTTTCTGTAGATTTGTGTAGAATTTGATGATGAGTCATGGGAAAAGAGAAGATGGATAGAAGTCTACAGCCAGAAAATGCAAGTGTTCCTGGTGGAGCAGAAGCTGGTGCTGGCTGAAAGAAAGTCTCCAGCCAGTTCTATGTCTCCTGTCCAGTGGCCTGCAATGGCAAGTACACCCTTGGCCTAACTCATTTTGGTTGTGCAGTTCCATCTGCTGAGGACAGTGTGGTTACAAGAGTGAATTTCTCAAGTACAGCTTCATGTGTGATCTGTAGGGAGACTAAACCTCTGTGTACAGCTAGAGCTAGGCAGAGTCTGGAAGTGTTAGAAGGTGGTGTGTTGTGCCTGGAGTTACAGAAATGTATTTTTATGACTTTGCTTCCCTCCCAAGCCACTGTTCTGTACAATCTTAATTCCTTCTCCCTCTAGTCTCATATTTCTTTGTCCTTTCACAAAGTTGCAGCTAAGAATAGAGAGAAAAAGGGTAAATAATAGGTTTCTAAGGCTAGCCTGTATTTTTATCTCAAGTTCTTGTTTTAGTGTGCCTCAAGAACTGTGAATTCTTCAGCAATTCTTGATCTGAGACAAAAATAATTTGAATGACTCTTATGTGATGGCTGCCTGGCACAGATGACTTGTGAGATTTGGGTTTTGTGTCTATAAGAGTCTGAGCTACACTGTATGAGCCAGAGAATGAAGCTTTCTCTAACTGCTGTCTGTGGCTGTGTGCAGATCAACCCACAGAGGTGAACAGGGAACATCTCTTAATGTATTCAGCCAGTGTAGTTTTACTTGACTACTTTGGTTATTGCTACTCATAAAAGTAGTTATGAAATAAATGAAGATGTTAACTTGCTGTATGTTAGGTATGCTGAGGTTAAGCCCATGTTTTAGTACTCTTGACTTTGCCAAGTATAAAGCACACAGTGTAATCCATATTGCTGCATTTTAGCTGAGCTTTTTTCTTAGGCAAAGCTAATCTAAGCAGATATTTATTGGAAGTAGGGCCAAATATGATGGGAGAGGAAGTGGAAAGATGAATCTTTATTTCCTGACATGTGCATTAATATCAGCATTTCTACTAGAAGATTTTGCTGATACAGTGTTCTGAAAACCTGCTTGTTTAAACTTAGCTGTTGTCCCTGTCCAGGTATCTGAGCAGTTCTTACTGGATACTTGTCTTTGTGCATAAAGCTGCTCTTGTGGGTTTGAAGTATGGGTTGCTACAGTGCACATGCTTCAAACTCATTTAGTGGCCCTGTCCAGGTATCTGAGCAGTTCTTACTGGATACTTGTCTTTGTGCATAAAGCTGCTCTTGTGGTGGGTTTGAAGTATGGGTTGGTGCAGTGCACGTGCTTCAAACTTATTTAGTGGAGGAACAACATAGGACAAAGTAAAGCACAATACTGCAGCTTGCCTTGGCAAAGGCTTTTCTTTCCAACCACAGAAGGCAGGAAAGAAAGGGTCAACAAAGGGATGTGCAGATTAATCTGTGTCTTGATCACAACTTACTGATCAAGTATACAGGGGAGTGTTTCTGACACGTGGAGTAGCTCTGCAGAACTCCTGTGATGCCTGATCATTCCTGGAGTGATTCCTGCTCCTCTAACCATGATACTGCCCCTTTGCAATGTCATTCTAGCTGAGGGGAAGAAAATCTTTGCCTGCACAATCAGTCCTTTGGAAATCCAAGCACATATGCTATCAGAGTGGGTTTCTTTTTTCTTTTAAATGGGGCACAAATGGATGTTTCACACAGGGAGGAGTTACTTTTGCCAATTCTGATGTTCCAGGCTCCTGATGCCTACTCACTCAGAGCTGCTGCTGCAGGACTGGGCATCATTTAACCTCGACTATGTTAGGAGGAGTTCAGAAGCTTTTAAAAGAAACTAAGGAAACTGTTTTCTTGTCTGTTTTGAAAGCCTTTGGTGTACCTGAACACAGCTTCCTCACTGCACTGCCATGGTGTAACCACTCAGGCTAGTTAGGTCACTGTGCACACCTAAATGGAGGCTGCAGCACATTACCAAAGTTGCGTGAGCTTTGAGAACTTCAGCCACACAGCAGGCCTTCATTGACTTGCTGTTTATTCCCCCAATCTACCAGAAGGAGGGTTTTTCATTAACATATCCAATTAGAAATCTTAATATTAGTAAATTCTGCATGTTGAGATGAATGATTAGTGGCAGCCACCTGAACTGAATTCCGAGCTTATTGTAATAAATGAAATTAATTTCAAGTATGGTGCAGTAACTCCTTTTAGGCATGTATTAGAAGTTTTAATAAAACTTGCTTTGTTTCAATAGCTGCCTGTAAATGTGGTACCTCAATGGAGAAATAGATACAAAGCTGAAATAACTTTCTGAATGCCAAGGTGAAATGATGTCTCTTTGCTCTGTTTCTAAGAAAATGTTTGTCACTCTTCTAGATTTACAAGTCCTTAGTGGACAAAGCTGGTTTGGGATCAATGGTTTCAGTACGCTACCTTGGTGAAGAGAGATGTGTTTTTCTTTCTAAAGACCTTCTGACTCCCATTCAGGTAACCTTCTGTTACGTTCATTATAAACATGGAAGATGAATCTTGTATCTTGCTATTTAAATTATGTCAAGTTAATGTATTCTAAATGCAAACTTTAGATGGGTAAAAAAACTTGAAGGTGTTTATTGCTGTAACTCACAAAATATTAGTTGTGAATGTTATGTGTCTATTGATTAGAAGCCTTCTGAAGCTGATCCAGGATGTGGTCACTTCAGAGGGCTGGATGAGGGAGTGTGCTAGGCCAACTACTCAGCTCAGGTGACAGCAGTTGTGTCATGTTGATGGTGGGGATACTCTGCAATAGTTTCCCTTTGTTCTTGTGAAGATGGCTGTCCTTACTATGAAAGAAAGAGTTGCAGGGATGTCTGGAATAAATCTGGGTGTTTAATGGGAACATATCAAATCTTAAACAAATAAGGAGTTGGGCAGGATGTAAATGAGATGGTTGAATTATGGTCCCTTTATTGAGTACCAGGAGGAAAGTTTAGTGACAATTAGGTGGGTTGAAGTAATTGCCCCATGTGACTGACAGGCCAGGCACTTTGAATAATAGTGTCTGCTAATGAGAAGGGGTTTAACCGTTTCAGGAAACTACTTTCAAGACCTATAAACAGTCTGAATGACACGTAATAGATGTCCTGTGTGGAGGCTGCTCCTAGTGCCATCATTTTTGTTCTGACTTGGTTGCTTTGACTTGCTAACAGTCAGCAAATAGACAACTCTGGAGAAACTAACAAAAGAATCACTTCAAGCTAAATTTGAGTTGTAGATTGTTGTCTTGCCTGCATTGGCTCAACAGAGTAGAGATTTCTTTATGCAGAAGCCTTATCGCAATACTGCAATGGAGAATATTGCTTTTCTGGCATCTTAAATAAGTTTCTTGACTACTAGCTCTTCAGCCTTCTGCTTCTTACAAACACCAGCACAGTGTGTGGGACAAAAAAAAAAAAAAACCACACACAAAAAACCCACAGCAAAAAAACCCCAAACCAAAACAAACAAAACCCACCATGTTTCCCTTTTTTATTAGCACTCTGACCCATTGGTAAACTTACTCTAAGCTCTCCATTTCAGAATCAGTTCTAGATGTCAAGCAGATTGGTTTAGGCAGCAACAGAGGAATGAAAAAATAAAAACCTGTAAATATGTAATGTTGAATAACTGAGTATTTTAGATGTAGCTGAATGATTTAATTCATATGAATGTTTTAAAATGGTGTCTTGATGGACTGGATCCTGGCATCATCATCATAAACACAAATATAAAACTTAAAATATTTGCATTTACATCTGTGCAGGACAACTTAAAAGTTGCTTCTTCAGAGAACTTAAAATTCTAAATTAAAAAATGGATGGTTCGATTGAACTTGGCACTCGTTAGCAATGTAGTAAAACAAAGCCAGATTGTTTTCAGAACAATATTAAAGTGAACCTGGAGAGCTCACTTCAGTCTGGCTCGCAGATGGTCGACGCAGCTCAGTGGTAAGGAGAAGATGTCTGCCCCAATAAATATATCCTAGGAGGTGAAGGAACACAGTGATGAGAAACTTGTTGGACTTGTATGAGTTGTTTCTATCTTGTTTCTAAATATTGTGGCAGTCTGCTAATCGAGCGCATTATCGTTAGTAGCAACTTTTGTTGGTTTTTGGTTTTGTTTTCTTAAATAGGATGTGGACAGTTCCAGGCTTCCTCTTAAGGATGATCAAAATGTCAATGAAGAAATTCAGGCTTTGGTTAAGAAGCACGTAGACGAAACACGCTTGGTACAAGGTACAACATACTCTGTAGAAGAAAACCCTGGCAACAAATACTCCAGTCAAAAGGGAAATCTTTGCAGTGATGGTGTAAATGACAGTCTGGTGTAGACTTTCTTTCTGTTCCACTTTCTTTTGCAGCAGTGAATGAAAAATAGGGAAGGTCATAGAGATTTAAGTGTTGAGCTCTTCCCTTTGTCAGGGAATACCTAATTTAAATGCATATAGATGGCCTGGCACTTGTGAGAGATTATCAAATTTGTAGCAGTTATCACTGAGAATATTTGGACTTGTTCATTGCTTTAAGTAGCTTGATTATTTTTTAGTCTGCTGCTTGTCTGTAAAAGCTCCTAAGGTTTTATATAGAGACTACATTTTAGTGAAGTTAAAATTGTTATTTCTTAGATTGGCCAGCTTAATTACTGCATTCATGCAAGCACACTTGTAGTCCTGTGCTTGCATATGCAGGAAGGGCCTTGCTTTGACAGAAAGGTAAGTACTGCAACGTAGAATTGTCATTTCCAGTACTATAAAGGGAGGAAAAATTATCATCTAGTCATTGAATCTTTGTTTCCATGTCCACTAATCTGCTACACTGTCAGAAATCTGGAGGTCAGTCTGGCCTCCGTTGCATCTCTTAACCTCCAGAAAGCTTCACTGAACTATTCCAGGGAGGAGGTACTGGAACAGAGTTTTATCCTGTGTTTTTCCCACCTTAGCTGTGTGGAAGTTGTCCCAGGGTTCTCAGTTTGTTTTGCTTACTCGGATCTTGCATGCTCTACTGGCAACAAATTCCTGTCCCTAACTGTGATCTTCATGCTCCCTTTTCTTGTTTTTAATTTTTAAGGTGGAAAAAACATAATTGGTTCAAAAATTAGAATTTATAGCCTGGATCCATCCACTCAGTGGTTCACAGCAGTTGTTGTCAATGGCAATCCAGCTACAAGGACTCTAGAGGTCAACTGTCAGGAGGTAAGAACCTGTTGGGTTTACAAATGGAGATGGAGAATGTATGGGAACTTGTATTTATATCCCCACAAACACCATTTTTCATTCTGTCCTCATTGTAATAAGCTTAAAAACATGGGGATCAGTGTAGCGTTGAATATTCTGTTGCCCCAGTTTTTCCATATACTGCTGGTAGAATTATCAAATAACCAATGACCTACACAAACCCAGGGAAAGTTGGAGTTTTACTTGAAGATTGAGGCAAAAGTATGATCCTGTTTTCCTGGCTTTCTATGCTGGGTAGACAGTGTTCTGAAGCAGCAGCCCCTGTGTGTGTTCTCATGCAGAGACACCGTCACAACAATATAGTGTTAAATTCAGCTTGGTATTCACAGAAGGTAGAAGTGTCTAAGCTCAGTCTGTACCACAGCATCTAAGGTAAATACATTCAAACAGTAACATTCACCTCTCTAAACTTCTGCTTCTGTGGTTTTGTTCCTTTCCAAGATTCCAGCTTTAAAAACTCTTGATCCAGAGTTAATTCACGTTGAAATCATATATGACAACAATGGAAACTGTGGTAAGACCTATTATTGTTTGTCCTTCAAACACTAAGCAGCCTATTTGTGATAAATAGATTAATCTTGATCACCTGCTTTTCCAGATAAGTCTAAAAGAATTGGGGGTGTGAAAAGGAAGTCATCTGAGACTAGTGGAAGTGTTGATGCTAAACGCACAAAATCTCCTCCTGAGGTAACATCTCACTGTGTTACAGATGATTGTTATATAAGGGTTATGTCATTTCTCAGAACAGTCTTAAATAAGGATTAGATAGGAAAGTGGAATAAGTAGTACAATGCCTGGGAGGGTGTGTTGAGCTCTTTGAAACTTGTCTAGACATGGCTAAGATGTCTTGCATTGTGATAATATGAGAAAGTTCCTGAACCTTGAAGGTTGATTGGTTTGGTGGTTTGTGGTGGTGTGTTTTTTGTTTTTAGCTGTGCTGTTTGCCCCCACCTTCTGCTTAGGAGTTAACCTGCCTGGTCATGTACTCTGCAGTGGGAGAAAACACAGTAGTTACCAAGTTTTATAACCTTTCCATGTTCTTTAACTGTTTTGTACTTAAACCCAAAACCTTCAGCTCCATTCACATGCTTGGAGGATTCAAGCTAGAAGAGCAGCAGTCTGGGAGAGTGTTGTTTGAGCACAAAAAGGGAATATGATGACTACTCTAGTTCTTCCATATCTCCACTTATTTCTTTAGTGAGTGACCTGCCAAGTATCATTGAGACCTAAGAAAACTGTCTCAAAGGTCAAAAGATGATCTGGCTAACTTAAGTATAGCAATAAAGATTAAAAATAGTGGCTTGGCTGAAGAACAGTGCTTCAAACTTGCCCTGTAATTTTGTCCTAGTGTTTCAGACCAAAAATTGCATTTTAGGCAGGAGTAGCTTTCTGGAAGCTCTGGAGTGGTGACGGGGTGGGAGGGCTGGGTTCTGGTTTGGTTTTTTTGGCTTCGTGTTCTTGGCATCTGTGCAGTCAGTCCTGTACTGAGTCAACCATGTAGATTTGGCTAATGACTGTAATTAGAAATCTTCAGCTTCAGAAAGATGCAGCATGAAGTATCAAGTACAGGATATTCCTCAATGAGGAAGAGTGTGCAGCAGATAAACATGAAGTAGCTCATGCATCGTGCTCATACTCTGCCTGTGTTTTTTTTCCTGTAGCTCACTTTTTGAATACTTTTAGCACCTTCAAGGTGCTCTGTTTACTATTCTTTAGCTTTCTGGCTGTTCAGCCATTGAGCAGCCTGCTTGATACACTCAAAGCTGGTCTTTATTTCATATTCCAGATGTCCTGCAGAAGAGTGGTCTGAATTCATAGCTTGTTTCACCATAGTTTTTCCTTAAAGTAGTGAAGTTACTTAATTCTTATTTTTCTGGTCTGCCTTTCTTTGAAGGACTGCATCCTTTATCACTTTTGGACTCTTTGGGAAATGTCTGACAACTATTTTCTCAAAATGGTTATAAGTGAATGAGCTTCCTAATAAGGAAAAATGTTTTGCTTTTCTCTCATTTCAGTGGATGTGACTATATGGGAGCGATCAGCTGAAGCCATATTTTTTTGTTTTACTTAGCATGTGATAGTAGTCTGATTTCTAATACAGAGTTAATGAATTCCAGCATTTTTTTGGAGAGCTTGTCTCAATGCCTGACAGCTGTTACATCAAAGCAGAAAGGAAATATTTTGGATGTGATGGTAATGAGGCTGTAGTGTAACTTCCATCTTACTGATGGAGGTTAAGCTGAGCATGTGGGAGTGGAATATGGATGTTAGAGCCGAGGAAGGAGCTTACAAAAAACTACTGTTTTTTTTAAGAGACACTTGTTAATTTGGTAGGACTGTTGTATTCCTAAAAACTGTAGATTCATAAGGCTGGTGATTCAGTCAGCACAGGATTTCTTTACTTAACACTTTCTAGAACGCTGGTACAAAGATTTTCTCACTAGAGGGAAGCTCACATCTAGATGTTTTGGTAATACTGTCAGACTAACTTTAGTTTTTATTTTTATCAGGATTTTCAAATAAGCCCTGAGAGCTGTTTCTGAATTCCAATTACTGCAGTTATTTTAGAGAGATCATTGCACTGGCAGTTAAGAAGAGCAGAGCTTTCTATCTTCCTTTCCACTTTCTTAATGCACCTTCATTCCTTAAAGTTTAATTGAGGGGAAAAATGAATTGACAGGAACAGTGCTTCACAGAACCTGTAAGGTTTAAAAGGATGCTCTAAAGTCTTTGCATCTTATGGACTGAGCAAGGATAGGTCTTCAGCAAGATGTATGTATTAAACACAGTGGGGAGGGTATTAGTGTATTTTTCTTAAGCTGAACCCTGCAAAGCAGTCTATCTGTTATCCTGAATTTCCCTGACTGTTAACATCTCCCTTACAGGTTTCTCCCAGTCAGGGGCAGGTGCAGTCAGTACCAACTGTGCTGGGTGAAGCATTGCTGGGATGTACTCCTGCTAATAAAGACCAAAGGCATCAAGGCCTGCCCCTGCCAGCTAACTCACCACCCAATCTTGGTGCAGAAACTCCTCAGGGGTAAGGAATCACTTTATGCGGACTGGTTTTCCTCCAAAAATAATTCCAATCCAAAACAAACTGGGAGGTTATTTTAAAGAACTGCAGTAGCTAGTCTTCTGTGATATTGGCATAGAAAAGTGGTAAAAGTAATCACCATGGATACCTAATTTACTTACTTATGCCATATTCTTTGTTTTTATCCTCTGAGGTAGTTGCCCTTCAAAGTGACAAGCCAGTGTGAGAGCTTTGTTGTACCCATCTGTGAACTCACGGGTTACACATAGGTGTGGTGCTTCCTTTTTGTAAAACACATTCCTCTCCTGCCCACAAGAAAAGAACCCCACATGCAGGCAGGTGTCCTGTACACTTGTTTATTGAAGATGAAGTACAAGCTCTCAATTGTATTTCTGCTGAACACCAGTGGCTTAAACTTCTTTGTTACCCCAATTCTGTCACAAAAATGAACATAATGTTAGAAATAGCATGACAGGAAAATTCAAATTCTGTGTATTAGCTCTTAAAAGAAATGATACAGGGTTCTTTCTGCTTCGTTTTGTGTATCTGTCTCACAAGACATGCAGAAAAGATTTTTCCTTTGAGCTTTTTTGGGGGGAGCCATTTTATTGTCTCCAGGGTAGACTTGTAGTGCCAGCCAGGAGTCCCTTGAGTGTTAGAATCTTCTCACACAAACATGCAAGTGAAGTGCATTTGGTTATACAACTGTTTCTTGGAAAAAATGAGAAAGTAACTCTTTCATGGTGAGAAAAGGCAGTGGAATAGCTGCAGTACCTAAATTTCTGTGTCTTTATCATTCTGTCCAACTAGTCAAAAAAAATCCCAAAACACACAAACAAAACCACAAAAAAATCCCCGGAAGACCTAAACAAAACAAACAAAAAATACCCCCCAAAAAACCCAACTGAAACCCACAGATCTGTTTACCCTCACACAAATGGAAATCTTGTAACATCCGAGTTCAAAGTACACGATTACATTTCTGTGAGGCTTCCAGTGTGACTAGAGCAGCTGATGCCTGGGTTTGACACCGTTTTCTTTGTCTCATTACTGGATGTTGTTTCAGCACCTGCAGACGAAGCTTACCAGAAACTCATCCTTCTTGTCTTAATGCTGGAATTAAACCCTCAAAGGAAAATCAGACGACCTTTCCCAAAGTGGGGTTTATATCTAAAGAACAAACACAAAATCTTAATGATCAAAACGGGAACTATACCTCTATGACAACCTCAAGATCTTCAACTGATTCAGCTAATGAGAAAGGAACCAACCAGAAAAATACAAATGAACCTCTTAAGAAGCCCTCAACAAACTTTCCAAAAGAATGCATTTCTGTAAAACAGTTGCAACATCTTAACTCTTCCCCAGCAATACCCAGAGTCAGCAGCACTGTTGAGCTGCAGCGGACTTTAGACTGTAGACCCTCAACCTCAGATGCTCATCTTCTCCCTTTTACCCAGCCTGGAGTTAAACCACAAAGCAATTGCAAAAGTCAGGGCAGCCACAGAGGAAACAAGACTGATGAACTTACAGACATGGAATTTTTTATTAGAAGAAATTCCAATGAGATTCTTCATGACAGAGCTGAAAATGAAAGTTTTTGGACTGGAAGTGTCAAGGTCCAGGATAATAGTAAGTATTGTTAAAACTTCCTGTCATTTGAAAGCCCTTTTAGTTTCTGTGTAGCACATGCAAGTAGATCCTTTGTAACATTTGCAAGATGAGTATTTTAAATCGTATCAGTGAATCTGGAAGTTGAGTCTTTTGTGAAGCGTTTTACTAAGGGGAATGCAATAAGCTTGAGAGAAACATCCTTTCCTGAGAAAGGAAAAGCACTAATCATTAATTTCTAGAAGTTGCTACAAAATGTTACAGAATGACAGAGTGGGTTAGAAAACCAAGGTTCTGCTTGGAATGCAGATGCTGATGCCATAGTGAGACTGCTTTATTTTTTTAGCAATGGTCCTAAATTTTGTCACTGTGATGAGAGACAGAAGTTTTTCTCAAAGCTTTGTTCAAGAGAGGCTTTCATTTAATAACCGTTCTGTAAACCAAAACAAACCCAAACTATCCAAGCTGAAAACAACCCACCTTGTTTCTCTGCTCTCTGTGGCTCGGTTCCAGTTGGTGAGCCCTTCCTGTTTTCCACGTGGGACAGAATGGGGAAGGCTGTAGTTGTTTGAGGAGCTGGACTCCTGACATTATGTACTGTGCATCAGACAACTTAGCTGCTGATTTGGGCTTCTGGGAATCTCCCTACACACCCACCTCTTTCTTTCCAATCTCATGCTGCTTGGTCTTGGATGACCACATGCTATTCCATAACTAACAGGGGGATGCAGCCAGCGGGGCAGTTGCTGTTGTGCCCTGCTAGGCCTCACCCACGGGGTGGGAGGGAGAGAGGTGTTTGGCAGCTGTCACAGGAAGATGCTGAAAGCTGTGGTGTTGTGAGGGGTGAAAACAGCACTGAGAAATGGCCAGGCTATACTTCTGTCTTCATTACTTCTGAAATGTGGTGCTCAGGTGCTCCAGCCCTGATGGCAGAAGAACTTTCATTGAAAGCAAATGCTCTTTCAAAATACTCTTCTGTGGAGGAGTGAAAGCAGCTTGAGTCCACAGACTGATTCCAGTGGAACTATAGCTTGAGAGAGTCTGTGCTGACCTGAAAAGAGATTTCTGCCAACTGCAAATATTTGAGCATTGCTCTGTTTCAATGTAATGTGAAACTTAGAGGAGAAGTTGACATGGAACTTCCACGAATATGTATTTGCTTTCACCTCCATGTGAGAAACTGAAGCTTGTCTAATCCCCAGTGCTCTCCCCTGCAGTCATCGTTCGGAAGTCGATTTTGGCAGACCCTGCTAAGGTGAAGAGGCTGCAGCAGAGCGGGGAGGCGTTCGTGCAGGACGGCTCCTGCAACAACATCGCCCCCCACCTGCACAAGTGCCGCGAGTGCCGCCTGGACAGCTACCGCAAGAACAAGGAGCAGAAGGACTCCACCGTCTTCTGCCGCTTCTTCCACTTCAGAAGGTGAGAACGACTTTGACTCCGTGGACGTGGATATCCTTTAGATGTGACTATGCGTGCCCCAGGTCTGGGTTGGACATCTGATCTATTTCCACCTGTTGAAAGGGAGTTGTTGAGTGCTTACTGTTAGTTACAACATGGACTCATCTTCTGGGGCAGGTCAAAACACGGTTGTTTGGTCAAAATGGTCTCCTGTTGGTCTCTGGTTCACAACTGTCAGATGTTAGTCAGTAGCTGTTAAGCTATAAGGCTAATAAACCTGACTAATGAGAGGTTGCTTGTGGTTTTTTAGCCCTTAAAAATTTCATAACTGCTTAATTTGAGTAGAAAATATTTTGGCAGGACTTTGAGCTCCTTATTTTGCTCTTCTGGGCCAAGTGCCAGTGGGATAACTGAGTTTAGCTGGAGTGTACATCTCGGTATTATGGGGGATAACAGTGAGAGGGGAGATTCCAGGCGTGTCTCCCAAAGTTTGGCAGCTGGACACATGAAATGTTAGATGTATACCCACAGCTGCAGAAGCCCTGCAGTAAGTGACCAGTGGCTTTCAGCTGGAGCCACAGCATTGTGATGGGTAAAATAATTTGTTTTGTGTCATTCAGTTCTTTGTGCCACTTCTTGAAGCTTGCCATAGAAACATTTAATCAGGATGCTCACTGGGTTTTGGAGGGCGAGCAGGGAGGGTCAGGGTCAGCAAGGCATCTCTAAGGAAACCTCAGTGATTGCTGAGTGGTGGTTGCTTTTCCAAACCTAACCTGTACCTTCAGATCCTTTACCCTTCACGTTCCCCCAGAGCCTGATTCTTGAACTGAACAGTCAAACTCTTTTTGATGTTTTATCTCTTCAGTTCTTAAGACACCATGAGGAACCCCTCCAAAAAGGGTGTTAAGCTGTTACTTGGAGCCTGTATGTAAGCCCAGGGTGGATGCTCCCAAACTGCAGTACCTGGCTGTTTTTTAACATGTCCTTTCCTTTGTTTTCAAGTTGTCTACATTTTTTCTGTGAACTATTTGATCTTGTCTCCAGATGCTGTTGCCTGCTTCTTATTTCCTCCCACACCCATTTAAGCTTTGAGGCACAGACCATGTTTTATGGGAAGAAGGTGACACTTGGGATATTAGAGAGGAAAAGCAAAAATACTAGTTCTCAAAAGGGAGACAATGAGCTTACTTACTGTTTTCCTTTTAATTTTCAGAGGAATTACTTTCTCTTGAGTCTCTAGGTAGAATAAGAAGCTGTAAGCCTAAAGACCTTTTGAAGTGGGAAAACTGAAAGCAAAAGTTACAGAGATTGGGGGTGGGGGATTACTGTTCCACTCCTTGCTTCTTGAGGTTTATTCTTCCACCTTCAATGCTGTCTCTCTTCCATGTTTTGTAGCTAAAAGTTTACAAAAAGAAGGAAGAGGTGTTGCTAATCGGTTATTTAACTTCAGATTAGAGATTTGACTCTAGTAAATTACAGGATAATCCGACATGGATCAAAATGGTGAAAACCATGTGAGACCAGAGTAACAACAGATGATGCTAATTCATCTTCTCAGGGTAAAAATCCAGACCTGTAGAGCAGTTCAAAGCACTTGAGTCCTTCAGTTTAGAACTTGGAGCTGATGTAACCATCCTTTTTGCTGAATGTGAAATCTGCAGAGTCTGAAGATTGCATTTGTCTGGTGGTGTCGGCTCCCAGCATGTTTTCTTGGCAAGCTTAGCCCTACAGTGAGCACATGTCATCAGAAGTCAACTTCCCTCTAGAGCATTTAGTAGAAAGGTTCTTCAAAACATGAGCAGAGCTCTTGGTGGTTTTTATTTAATAAACTACTAGCAATGCAGATCTCATCTTTCCACTTTCTCAGAATCACTCAAGAATATATCTTATTCAAATTTTTTTTTGACACCTACTTGCAAATTAGTTGTTACTGAATATATTTAAGGTGCTGTCACTTCTTTTGTGAGCTGTATATTGTTTTAGATTCAATTCTTACTGTTACCTTCCTAGATGTGATCCTTGATGCCAATGCATTTTAAAAATTATGCTATCTGGTTTTGTGTGAGTGAAAAAAATCTGCAGGAAATCTGCTTTACTACAAAAGTGATATTTTGTCTTTTTATTTAAACAAGCAGTACTTTAAGCATGCTTAACACTAATGATTGATATGTTTACCCATGTCTGTGGTAGCCATTAAGAGTTAAACTCATTGACATACAGAACACACGTTTACAATTCAAGCATTGACTCATTGGAATGAGTATGTAAACTAATAAAATATTTGATTTTTTTTTTACCTCCCTTTTCCTCCCTCTTTCCACAGGTTGCAGTTCAACAAGCATGGAATACTGCGCGAGGAAGGTTTCCTAACTCCAAATAACTATGACCCTGAAGCCATTAGCTTGTGGCTGCCTTTATCAAAAAATGTTGTGGGTCTAGACCTCGACACAGCGAAGTATATCCTTGCCAACATTGGAGACCACTTTTGTCAGCTAGTTATATCTGAAAAGGAAGTTATGTCTACAATTGAACCACACAGTAAGATCAATTTGTGTTAAAATAGTCTGTATTTTAACAGCTTTATGTGACATTTAGGACTCTGACCTGTGTGAAAATACATTGCTTGCATTTAGGAATATCATGAGACCTCAGTGTTTTCACTGAGAGAGGTAATGGTTAACATCCAGGGTGAGCTAGTGTCAACAGCTCCACTCACAGGTGGAGGGAAAAGGGGAAAAGGAATTCTACCCTTTGTTAGAAGACTTTTTCAATTTATCAAATTACTTCTCCTGTTGCAGAGAGTGTAATTATGTTATGAAATTGTTAAAAAAACTGAATAGCAGGCAGCTGATAATCTATTCTTAGCATGTAAATGAAGTAAACTTCCATTTTGACTACACATTCTGTTGGATTGCTTTGGTCCTATTTTGTTCTTGCATAAGGGACCTAATGCTGCCTGTCAAGTCAGGAAAGAAATCTTTTCTTCCACTTGAAATTTTCCAGCAGGACTGCTTCAAGAGATCATAGATACAGAAGCTCTGTAAAGAGTTCCCTAAAGAATTAGTAGAAAAGCATGAGTGAAACTATCCCCATGTAGTAAAAGATTGACCAGTGCAGAAAGAACAGCTTGTTAGGTCACACTGCTCCTTGGCTGCCAAGTGCCAAAAGGAGACCTGCAGAAAGAGGAGGTGGGATCAAACTACAGAGAGGAAACAAAGGAGTAGGAGGAGTGGAAAAGGACAAAATGCAGGAAACTGAAGTAGAGAATGAATGTGCAAAATATAACAACACCCCTTTTCATCCCATTTTGGGGAAATTGGAGGATTGGCCCAGAAAATGGTAAATATAGTACATGTTTTTAAAAGGCAGGGGAGAATGGAGCTGGTGATATTTAGACCTCTGTCTCCTGGAAGAATTTTGAAGGAAGTAGTGAAACAATTTTTACCTCCTACTTAAGAACAAATTGTGCCAAGCTATTCTAGTTTTGTTCCATACATAGTTAACAGGCATTCTACAGGAGAAAAGCAACAGATGTTGTGGATCCTGGTGTGTTGTTTTTTTATAGCATACGTTAGGACACGGTCTCTCATAACTTGCTTTTACAATTAAGAATTGTGGGCAGAAAAGTTTTTCAGAGAAGGTACAAGTGTGGAAGAAGGTAGGAGATGGCAGATGTGTACTTTTTGTCTGGTCTAGTTTTCTAGCTGGCAACATAATGAAATTAAGATTGGGCTAGAACAATCTGTATGTAATACAGTCCTGTAAGAGTTTCCTTTGTTTTGGAAGATATATCAACACTTGGAATGTTTTGAGTGAACTGAAGAAGTGACTTGGGGTGAGGAAAGGTGGAGTACAATGGGTACAAAAGAAACTTGAACAGCAGTGGTCAGTTCTTCAGAGAAGAAGATAACTGTTTTGAGAAGGTCTGATACACACCTATAAACACACAGAAAACCCACTCAGATGGGGAGAACTACTTGCCCACTCTGCTATTGAACAAAGAACAAGGACAAGCAGTTGTGGCAAGCTAGATGTGAAGCTTAGCTTGCTAGAAGTACCTTAACTTTTGTTTTCTGGGGTAGCTGTGGAATTTCCACTGAGGAGAATGTCAGCAGGGTGCATGTTAATGTGGGCAAATACCTGTCAGGAGCAAGAGACGGAGTTGGTGCCACACAGGAAGAAGCAAAATGGTCTTGATTGCATAGGCTCTGTCCTGGACCTGTTCTTCTGAAGCTGTAACAGCAAAGGCTTTGTTTTGGGGTCCCAGTACAAAACAGAGTCCGAGTCTTGCATTACTGAGGTGTGTTAAGGTGCAGGTGTCCTGTTCAGGCCCACGCTGAGCAGCCTGTCCCCTCCCGCAGGGCAGGTGGCCTGGAAGCGCGCGGTGCGTGGCGTTCGGGAGATGTGTGACGTCTGTGACACCACCATCTTCAACCTCCACTGGGTCTGCTCCAAGTGCGGCTTCGGCGTCTGCGTGGATTGCTACAGGATGAGGAAGAAAAGCTCACGTGAAGGTGAGGGGGCATGTTGCTGCTTTAAACAGAACCGGGAGAGGGGAAAGAGAACCTGAATTTGGAACTTGGAAGTCAATAACAACCTTAAACAAGAAGACAGTAAGTCTTCCCAACAAAAAACTCATTGTAGACCTATAGTCTGGTAAATAGAAAGCTGTGTGCTTTACTGTCCTCCAGAGGAGGATGAAAGATGCACCAGTACATAACATTATTGATGTACAGTAATAAAGCATAATGGTTTTGTTCTGCAGATGATGACTCGGACACTTTCTCCTGGTTTAAATGTGTGAAGGGGCAGGCACATGAGCCAGAGAACCTCATGCCTACACAAATAATTCCTGGAAAAGGTATTTTAAATATGTGAATGGGATGGAAAAACCCTGTGAGCTTTTGCTGTCTTTTGTATGTTGTTGATACTGTACAGAGTGAGGATTGGTTTTTTTGTAATAAAGTTAGTAAAAGCTTAGTATTTATTGTCCAAAGACTGGAACAACCTGTGTATGTAATACTGTTATATTATCTTTGATATTTACAGAGAAGTAGTGAAACTTCTTGGCTGATGATGAACTGTGTTTGTGTACTGTTTACCTCTGTCACATACACAATTTCTTAAAGGGTTATTGAATGCTGAGTGTTCTAATTACACATGAGCTCACTAATAACTCTTTTCCTTCAGCTCTCTATGATGTTGGTGATATTGTTCACTCCGTAAGAACAAAATGGGGAATAAAGGCAAATTGTCCTTGTGCAAATAAGCAGTTCAAGGCACTATCAAAGCCAACTCTAAAGGAGGATTCAAAACAGGTATTGCTACTGTCTCACACTATGTCTGTGTAGTACAGGTTTGCCTGGGTGTAATACCCATATTTGAAGCCAATGGTAATTGATTTTTGTAGGTTCTGACCACCCCACCACATAGGTCTTTGTTCAAAGTTTGTATTTAGCATTCATCTTTCTGGGTCAGTTCTTTTACGCTTTGGGGGAAACCTCATTGTGTCCCTTGGACATGCTGATGCCTCAGTAAGTGACCTATCCTTGAAAAATGCTCAGTGAGGTATTTTAGTGCAAAAAATGTATTAGACTGAGAATACATTTAAGAGAATAGTCTCAACAGACTAGTGGGAAGGATTGCAAAGCATAGGCCATCCCTGTAGGGTCCTGGAGATGTAATACAGGCAGCATCTAAAAGAATAAATAGGGTGGAAGAGCAGCAATGGAATTCATAAAAGAACTAAACAAGAATAAGGGCTAGAAGCAGTGATTTCTCTGAGAATCCTGGTGGAGAGTTTGCTGTTTATTAAATTTTAAAAAAAAAGCAAACAAAAAAAATTAAAACCCCAACATGCATTTGTAAATGAATCTAGTATTTTTGGTTTTAAAAAGAGTATGAATTAATGGCTTAGTTCTGTAGCGTCTTGCAAGAAACCAGCTGAATCAAGTCATTTTAATTTTGTTGTATGTGTATTTGTAAACTTATTTTGAGAAGAAATGTATTACTTGAAGTGTAAGAAGCAGGCTGAACTGGATTTTGGTGTTGGTAATCAATAGAAGAGACAAAAATACTGTGATGTGTTGAAAGTGAGGAAGATGTGACTGAAAATGTCAGCCTACGACTGACCTAGCTTCAGCCTTCTGCTCCTTGAGATTTCCTCCTTGGCCCTTCACAAGCAGCTGCACTGAACTTTATCTGTACCTCCCTTTTTGTAAAATTAGGTCTCGCACTTCTTGTGTGAGGATAAGCTTAGGGAAGCTTGAAGTATTTCATATTTCATCATATTTGGAATCCCTACCAAGCATCAGCAGTCATTAAGAGATGAAATAAAGAACATAGCAGTAAGCAAATGTGGGGGCAGAGTAATTCCTTGACTGTAAAGTGTCAGAACAGAGAGAAGAAAGTCGGCTGGTTGGGCAGGAAAGCCCGGCCAAAGCAGTAATTCTGGTTAGTCTGTTAGCTGGAACCCCCAGGTGAGCAGATAAACCAGCTGGGTAGGAGATGTACAGGAATCCTCTGCTGGCATGGGCTGGCCAGGCTGGTGCCACCCACGTGCAGGTGTATTTTAGCCCTGGCAGGTGACTGGACTTTACCTGCCGCCTTAAGAGGAAAATCTGGCAGCACTATGTGTTTTAGGCTGCTGAAACAGACCTCCAGCACAGCCCTGTCTGAACATCAGCTGTCAGTAGTGTTGTCAGAGCACTGCTGTTAAACCTGCATTTGGTTCGCAAAGCAGTCCCAGAAACTGCATCCGGGAAGCTGTTTCCTGTACTATTCTTGAGGGGTGATGGGCTCTTAAAAGTTGGGAGATCCCAAATCCTGCTGGGTCGTTATCTCTGGCTGATGCTGAGATGCACTGCTGACCTCTGGTGGGCATGAGATTAATTCTTTTACCAGAAAATGATTTGGCCTTCCAAAAAAAAAAAAAAAACCAATCCAAATTCAGTTTGGACTTGTTATTGCTTCCTTCCCCTTTTTGAGTAGAGCATGTTTGTGTCTAATCAAGTTCTTATTTTGGTTTTTTTCCAGAACTTGGTACCTGGAGAGAGGTCCAGCCTTCAGCAAAACTGTTTTGTCCTCAGCCCACAAGTCACTGCACACGACCCTCCTCTAAAGTCAGCAGCTGGAAGCAAACCAACTGCTTCAGTAAACACTTCTCCTTCGTTAAGCTGGTTATCAAATGTAACAAGTGGAAATGTGAACAAAGAAAACAAAGGTGCGTGCAGAACCAGGGAAGAGTAAACCCTTTGTGGCTGTTTGTCAGAAGGACGCAGCCCAGACCCAGCTGTGGGTTGTGTCCAAGAGGACACAATGTGCCTGCTGGGAGGGCTGGCCAGTACCTGTACTGCAAAACTGGTCAATGGCAAGGGCTTGGAGTAAACCTGACAGATTTACCATGTTCTTTTTTTGAAAACTGGATTAGTATCCCATTGATGCAAGTATTCTCAAAAACTGAGTTTGAGAATGTTTATTTTAGAATGTGTGATTTAAAAAACTTACTTGAGTGTTGTAGAAAGTTAAGTGAAAGGAATATTGCATGTGTGTATGGAGAGGAGATTTATGTATATAGATGCTTACCTACAGGTATGCACATAGGAGTATCTTACTGTCTTAAAAAAAAAAATCCAAAGTGTATAGCTCTTGTGTTTCAGAAGATTATCCTTCATAAAATCACAGAATGGTTTGGGTTTGGAGGGACCTTTAAGACCATCTAGTTACAACCGTTCTGACGTGGGCAGGGACACCTCCCACTGGACCAGGCTGCTCAAAGCCCGGTCCAACTTCAACCCCTCCAGTGATGGAGCATCCACAGCTTCCCTGGGCAACCTATTCCAGTGTCTCACCACCCTCCCAGTGAAGTTTTTTGTAACCTCTAATCTAAACCTATCCTCTTCCTTGCTTCATTCTCTGATGAGCTCTGTTCTTTGTTTCAGAGAAACTCCCTGTACCTATTTCAAAGAATGAAAATAAACCTCTTCAGACACTCCCCAGTTTGGCCAAGCCTTCTGCAGCCCTGCAGACCTTCAACAGTGCAATACTGACACCTGTGAGCAACAACAACACGGGCTTCTTGCGGAACCTGTTGAACTCTTCTGCAGGAAAGGTAGATGGGGAATTTTGGTTTTCAGGTTTGAGACGATACCAGGCTTGGAGTATTAAACCTGTGAACAGCTATCACTGACATTTATTGTAGGAAAAATTCTGTTTTCATTGGGGAAGGAGGACTGACTTCAGTTTGTGTTGCAGTGCTCTGGCTAGCACTGCCTAGAGTTGTAGCATAGTGCTACTATCAGCAGGTCTTGCTTGGTGAGGGACTGGGAACCACGTGTTAACACAGATGAATTTACCTAGGCTAGTGCAGGGCAGGTGCCTTGATTGGTGTGTCCATTACACTCAAAAAAGCAGCATCAAGGAACTTACAGATGGAGGGAAAAACTTTCTGTGGTGTGGGTCGCTCTCATATCTTGTTTGCAAACTAGTTCAGTTCAGATGTTCCTGGGCTTTGTTTGCTCTTACAGATGGGACTTCAAAATGGTGGGGTGGAATATTGGCCTTGAGAGTTCCTTGCTGAAACTGCATTTCTGCTCTTTGATCTAAAGAATATCCTGCATGGTTCTCTGCAGCGTTGCTGGACTGTAAATCAGAGCAGAACTTAGGCCAGAATGCCATAGACAGTGTCAGACATGACATTGCCATTTAATGGCAGTGAGTTTCTAGACAGCAAAGTTCTGCAGATTTTTGTTCCTCTGTGTGATTCTGAGCTCAAGTGAAGAATTTTTAGTCGCAAACACCTTAGCCTGTAGGACAAGGCAACAGAAAAGTGCACCAACTTATTTGTTCTTTCTCTTTTTTTTTTATCAGACAGACAATGGACTCAAGAGTACACCCAAAATCCTGGATGACATTTTTGCTTCCCTGGTGCAGAACAGAACCATTAGTGACCTGCCAAAGAAGCCTCAGGGGCTGACCATAAAGCCGACGATAATGGGCTTCGACACGCCGCACTACTGGCTGTGTGACAACCGCCTCCTCTGCCTGCAGGACCCCAACAACGAAAGCAACTGGAACGTCTTCAGGGAGTGCTGGAAGCAGGGACAGGTATTTCAGCTTTTCTGCTCTCTCCAGTTTCAGTTCGTGTGCTTTGCCCTTGAATTGAAGTGCAGGGTCGAACTTGGAGCGCCCATAATGCTAAACCTTCCTAAAATGTGCTGTGCCAGTGCTGAGGTTCTTGGATAAAAAGGTGTCTAATTTACTGTTTGAAATCGTTTCTAAATGTATTGGTGAACTTACAACCCTGGATAAAAAAACAAAAAAACAAAAAAAAAAAAAACAAACAAACAAACAAAAAAAAACCTTGAAACAACAAATGATCAAATGCCTAATTCCAGTAAGGCAGGCTGAGCATTTATTTAGGAAAATACAACGTTTGCAAGATGCCTGCCTTCAGATGTTGGGCGCGTTTTATGCGTTACCCTCTTCTGGCTGGAATTAGAATTTTTGTTGTTTAATAATTCTTCAGAATATGTTATTTTTCTTCATAGCCTGTAATGGTGTCGGGAGTGCATCACAAATTAAATGCAGACCTCTGGAAACCAGAGTCCTTTAGGAAGGAATTTGGCCAACAAGAAGTAGATCTGGTTAACTGCAGGACCAATGAAATCATCACTGGAGCTACTGTAGGGGATTTCTGGGATGGCTTTGAGGATATTTCAAGTAAGTAGTGCGAATTTTTTTTTTCTCCTACAGGTAAAATATTCAACAGTAATAATTTTGTCCTAGCACAAGTTGTCATCCCTAAGCAGCATAAAAAATGTTCCAGGCTTTTTCCTCATCCTGGTAGCTGTATGCAAGGTATTCTCACCATATAAGCCTGTGGGATGGTGGAATGCATAGAAACAGCCCCATGGAGGACTCTCCTTCAGGAGAACGTTTGGCTGTCTTTAGCCTTTTGGGGAAGCGCTCTCAGAAAGTCTGGGACCTTCCTAGCCAGTAGGTTCACCTGTTAGCTTTTTTGCCAACAGTTGAGTGAAACATAGAGCATGTGTAAGGTTAGTGCTCACAAGGTACTTGGGTTCTGCTGTTTTAACCTGAAGGTGCCTTTTTTTCTTAAGGAACTAAAGTGATTTTGTGTAAAAAATGGGTTTAGGGGAGGGTAAGCATGAGGTCTGGGCATTGTTTTCACTTGCAGTGAAAACAAACTTTTTCCAGGAGAATTAGTACTTGCCATGAAGTTCTACTTCCACTGTTGGTGTGGTATGAACCTGGGGAACTGGGTATTTGGGCAAGAAGAGTGGTGAGCTGGAAGGTTCACTTTGCACCTTTTCTTTCTGTTCCTTCATCTTTGGAAAGATTTGGCTTTGTCACTGCCTACTCTGCCCTCAAACACAAAGCAGTTGCACAAGCTAAGTTTTAGGAAGTGCTCGAGCAGGGGAACTGGTAAAAGCTGCTTGTCTAGTTTGAAATCTCCTGTTGTAACATGTTTGTGACAGCAGTCACCCCACCTGTCAGGTCAGATGAACTTGTGTGTCTTTGATCCTACATAAACAGGTGTGGAATGAACTTGATCTTAAACTAAGATAAGGATTTCATTGTCTTGGCTACCTGGATTTTAAGTTGTACAACTATTAAACTAAGACTTGTTAATATTTGACACCAGGTCGCCTGAGAACAGAAGAAGGAGAGCCAATGGTGTTGAAGCTTAAAGACTGGCCTCCAGGAGAAGACTTCAGAGACATGATGCCTTCACGGTATGGATTTACAAAGAAGCTGTTCATCACTTGTGTGCAACACCCCCAAGGTCATGGGATGTAGGAATACTCTTATGTTTGGAACAACATGGTTTAGGTCCCTGTTGAATGGTATGTGAACCATTGTTTCCCAGAGATGCCTGACAGCTGGAAGTGCTGAACAAGTTTTGTGATCAGTTTTGATGTAGTTCATTGTATTTATTGCCAAGTGAAGCGAGTACCTGAAATCGCTCATGATCGGTTTAACTTCAGGAGCTTTCTAAAAGCCTGAGTCATTTTGAAATCTAAAGGTCAGGTGAAGCTTGATTTTGCCAAACATTTGTAAGTATTCTGACTTACTCTATTTGGTATTAGTTGAGATGATTACAGAAGGAAATAGCATTGCTCTGGAGCCATGAAATGTGTGCTAAATTCCCATGTCTTGCTTGTTTTGGTCCTTTTTATGGTGTCCAGCAAAGCCCCTGGGGAAGGGTGTGCAGTTTAACTGGAGAAAGCTTTTGTTTTGGTCTGTCTTAGTCTGCTTGTTTTCATCAGAACCTGAGATTAAACTGTGCTGTATTCCGTTAGGTTTGATGATTTGATGAAGAACATTCCCTTGCCAGAGTACACGAGGAGAGGTGGGAAGCTGAACCTTGCCTCTCGGCTCCCCAACTACTTTGTGCGGCCAGACTTGGGCCCCAAGATGTACAACGCCTACGGTAAGGACATCCCAGAGCTGCCCCAGAGCTCACGCTGAGCACGCGGCCCAGTGAAACTGTGCTGGGAGTTAATTTAATCCTTGCTGTTCTGGACAGCTAAGCCCATTGATCAGAAAACCTAACTTGGGTTCACTTACAGGTATTAGTGATGTCCAGGGCATTATATAATTTTATTAAATGTTTTTTGGTCCAGGTGGCTTCAATCCAATCACATTCATTCTGTCTTCTAATCTCCTCACTCTACATGTGTATACACTGCCTCCCTTTCCTGTAGCTGGCCATGAGTATTTGTTTTGCTGCTTCTGGCTGTGTCACTTTTCTTATGTCTCCTTTTGGGGCTGTATAGTTTAGTTTTTAGTCTCTTCTTGAGCAGCTTTCTGTGGCTAGTTCATCTGCTGTCAGGCAAAAGGCATTTAAAACTAAGTGTGATTGTGGCCAGTAAAGAGATGGGTAAATACTGGTAAACACTGCAGCAGCTGCCTTTTAGAGTAATAAAGACTTTCTGAGAACACTTTATACTAAGCTGCTGTAGAAACTCTTTTCTAGCAGAACTTAAATGCAATTTTTACATCTCATACAGGGTAGGTGTAGATATGGGTCAATTGTGTCACCTTCATGTGTGGGCCTGTAAACTGACCACTTTGGAAGACTCAAATGGGATGGGGTGAGGTCCAGGATATTAAGTATAATGCTGTACTGGATTCATGTCCTGGTAAAAGCTCTCTGGCCTGTTCAGAGACTGCTGCTGAGAGTGACAGAAGGTTTCTTCTTTTCTTACTAATGTACCTGCTTCTCTTGTCTCTTTTTCCTTCAGGCTTAATAACACCCGAGGATAGAAAATACGGCACGACAAACCTCCATTTGGATGTGTCTGACGCAGCTAATGTGATGGTTTATGTGGGTATCCCCAAAGGCCAGGCTGATCAAGAAGAAGGTAAAGTCTTTTTTGGGTTCTGGGGGGTTATTTCTGTGGTTGGAGGGAAGTCCTTTAGTGTAACTGCTCGTGTTTGTGCTCAACAGAAGTGCTTAAAACCATACAAGATGGTGATTCTGATGAGTTGACAATTAAGCGTTTCACTGAAAGTAGAGAAAAACCTGGAGCTCTGTGGCACATTTATGCTGCTAAAGATACAGAGAAGATCCGGGAATTCCTTAAAAAGGTGAGCTGGTGTATCTTAGAAACTGACCTGTCTGTGTAGGCTTGCAAATACACATCCATGGTCTTTTCTCCTCCTTTCTATCCCAGTTGTTCTGGAGACAGAAGTACTTGAGTTGTATCCGAGACAAAACTTCTCAAAAAACTCCTCAAGTGCCATGAATCTTGTGGGATCTGAGGAGGGTAGTGAGTTGTAGCTACAGAGCTCTCTGTAGACACACTGCTTCTGCCCATGCTTCTGATGTGGTGATGTTATGGAATGAACAAAAATAGCTGCTGTAGATTTGAGTAAAAACACGGTTTAATCTTAAACTAGATCCTTCTTAAAAGCACGTTTGTGAGATACTCTTGGGAAATGTCAGAGCAATAGGTGGTGCCTCAGGTCGTCTTTGTTCTCTCCCTTCTACAGTTTTCTTCCCGTATCTTTATGGGGTTTGGATTAAGGGAAAAGCATGAGGTATTTTGGGTGACGTTTTCATAGGAGTTAAAGGTTGAGCAGAAGTGTGACACGGCATCTGGAAGGGCTTGTTTCAGTATTGAAATTCACCACAAATGGTCCATGGGTTTTGGTGGGTCTTAATTCTGCAACTTCTTTGGTCCTCTGAATGTGGAAAGAGCTAACAGGTTGATGTTTAAAATGATAGATGGGATGATCTGAACAACTGTTGGCTTTGTCAGCCTGACTGCTGTCTTGGGTTGAAACTTAGGATAAAACATGACCTGAATTGATAAGCGTTGGCATTTGGCGTTTGGACATCTGTCTCACAGCTCTTCTTGGTCCCCTGTAGCATATGTGCCTGCAGGCATGAGGCTTTCAGCAGCTTGGCTTGGAGTAGAACCGAGCTCCTTGTCTCCTCCCACGAGTTTTTGGGCTACAGTCCTGATGTAAATGATGGCCACGGCAAACTGGATTTGTACTGGCACTTTTTGCAGAAATTCTCTCCCCATAGCCCTCAAGTTTCTCTTCTAAAGTGCTTATTGTCTCTCAACCTCCTGTCTGCTGACAATGTGTAGGCAGTATCCTCTGGTCTGGGCGGGGAGCACACTGGCTAGTGCTGGCCTCAGGACAGACACCTGCTGAAGCCCACACCTGTGGTTCTTCCAGTTCCAGGCCGTAGTGCAGGAGTGTTGATCCCTGTGAGCACACACAAGTGACTTAACCCTCCTGGGGCTTCCTGCTGCAAATGGGGTTTCCTACACGCTGACCTGGGACCCCAGTTGTCCCGTGAGGCTGGTGTGTGATGGTTCCTGTCATCCTCTGGCTGCAGGTTGCGGAGGAGCAAGGGCAGGAGAACCCTGTGGATCACGATCCCATCCACGACCAGAGCTGGTACCTGGACCGATCCCTGCGGAAGCGCCTGCACCAGGAGTACGGAGTTCAAGGCTGGGCCATTGTACAGTTTCTAGGAGATGTAGTTTTCATTCCAGCAGGAGCTCCACACCAGGCAAGGACTGGGTCATTGTTACAGCCTGACCACTTGGGCAGACTTCTGAGTCTAACATGGCTAATGCTTGTTTCTTCTCTCTAGGTTCATAATTTGTACAGTTGTATTAAAGTTGCAGAAGACTTTGTATCCCCAGAGCATGTCAAACATTGCTTCTGGCTCACTCAGGAATTTAGGTATCTGTCACATACGCATACGAACCATGAAGATAAACTGCAGGTAACTTACCAATGCTCAAGATGAACCCTGCCCTTCCTCACCCTTTCAAAAGCCCCACCAAAACCCCACACAACCCTCACCAAACTCCTAAGGGGTGTATCCACACAACCCAAGTTGCTTTCAGATCATAGAACTATAGAAGAGTTTGGGTTGGAAAGGACCTTAAAGGTCATCTAGTTCCAACCCCCCTGCCATGGCCAGGGACACCTTCCACTAGACCAGGTTGCTCAAAGCCCCATCCAGCCTGGTCTTGAATACCCCCAGGGATGGAATATCCACAGCTTCCCTGGGCAATCTGTTCCAGTGCCTAACCACCCTCATGGTGAAGAACCTTTCCTAATATCTAATATAAATCTATCCTCTTTCAGTTTAAAGCCATTACCCCTCATCCCATCACCACACTCCCTGATCCAGAGTCCCTACCCAGCTCTCCTGTAGGCCTCTTTTGATTCTGGAAGGTGGCTGTAAGGTCACCTTTAACACGATGGATCTTGAACACAAGCTTCCATATTGCTACAGGTTTTTAGTCCTTTTCTGAGGAAGCCTTCTGAAGCTTCTCCTGGGATTCTTTTGAAGTGTTTCCTTCCTTTTGTTCCTTCTGTGCTCTCCTTAGGCTGCAGAGCTTCAGCTGACACCCTGTCACAATTTGAACCCTCCCTTCACAAGTTTGACAGCCGTGCTTGTTTAAACTGATGGGGGAAAGGGCTGGGCTGTGCCTGTGGGTCAGAGCCTCCCAGCCTGACCCTGACTGTGCTGTCTCCTTGTAAAACCAAACACCTTTTCTTTCTCTTCCTTTTTCCCCCTGCTAGGTGAAGAATGTCATCTACCACGCTGTTAAAGACGCGGTTGGGATCCTGAGGGCGAACGAATCCAGCCTTAGACCGTGAAGCAGAAAGCCTTAACCACACACTAGGAAACAGAAGCGCTGGCAGCTCTTTTAACTCCTCAGTCAGGACCTCTGTGGACTTTGAGATTATATGAATGTTACCTCATCTTCCTTTCGGCAGTACCAGAGGCTCGTGGTACTATGTTCTGTGTATTCTTCCAATGTTTACAAACCTGATATGTATATGTAGGAATATGTATGGACTGTGGCATACTGTGAATGCTCAGTTGCAATAGAACTTTATATGGAGTCGCTCTCCAGACTGTACAAAATACCTCCTATAGGACTGTCGGGAACTATTCCAAATTACTCGTTTGAAAAATACTATTCAAGACATTGTAAAGCTCCGATTTTTAAACTTTATCTTTGGGTGGGAGGAAGTACAGAGACACCCAATTTAATAACCTATTTACAGACAAACAAGAATGCAGTTCTGGAATTTCACATTAACATAGAACTAGCATTTAAAAGTAGCTTTAAGCTATTGTATAGGAACATAGAGATGGGGGTTAACCATCTTTAGGTAAATGTATTTAAATTTCTAAATGTTAAAAGAAACTTTTAATCAAATGTCTTCTGTTTGAAACTGTTCTTTAATTTGAACCGATGTTTGATTCTCTGGTTTTTAACACTGAACGGTCTACATAAAATTCTTCTATTTCAGATACTGTTCCTCACCTGGCTTCTTTAATTGACTCCTTAAAATCTAATTAATTTGATGCAGTGCAAAGAAGTCTGTATCCTGCACTGCTCATAAGGGTTTTTCAAGTATCTGAAGGCTTACAGTACTGAATTTAGTGATGAATCTGCTGGTAGCTTTGTGTTTGGTTGACCAAAGCAGGAATTGGCTCAGCTGCTGCTTCTCACCCAGTGCCAGCACCACAGTCTGCTCTCAGATGAGTTTTTCAGCTTCAGTCTTCAGTGACCCACATTAAAACATTGTAAAACTTCAAACAAGGCCAGGGCTGAAGAGTGAAGTGTGCCTGCTGTCCAAGGGGGTAACAGGAACCTTCCTGCCGATGCCCTCCCCAGCACTGGGGTGGCCAGGGTAGGAGCCAGGTGGGGTGGGAACCTCCTAGTTAGCTAAAAGTCACTTTTCTGAACTTTTAAGTTACAAATTGACAGACTGAATTCTCCTCCCTGCAGGAGTTTTCCTGACCAGCATCCCCTGTTCTGAGTCTGGCTCAGGCGACTGGGTTTGGGTTGGTTTTTTGTTGTGGTTTTTTATTTATTTATTTATTTTTCCAAAGAAACTTCCTCTTACTCCCTCCTGCGGTATCTGAAGTGGAGCAGAGACTGCAGTGATGTGCAGTGCCCAAGACTCATCCAGGGTAGAATTAAGTGGGCTCAGAAAAGGTTTATCTACTGTGAACAACTGCTCCCTTCCTCTTAAAATGGAGGCAAAAACAGGACCTCAGAAGAACCAGAGCAACTGAACAAAAGCCTAAATGGAATTGAGCTGTGGCTCATGGGAGGACCCCTGGGTGTCAGACCTGCAGATCTTCAGGTGACCAGTTACAGCTCACCTGGCCTGTGCCAAGATCCACAGTGCTGGGTGAGGAGCCAGGGCCAGTGCTGTGGTGTTCTTGTGTGGGCAAGTGTTCTGGCTCCCAGGATTGTGCTGCTGGTGTAAACTCTGCTCAGCAATGTGTCTTTGGGGTGCTCAGTGAGAACTTCCCTCCACCTCGACTGGGGGAGGCCTCTGCCAGTGAACAGACCGGCTGCTGTCCAGTCCCTTCAGCTGGCCTCAAACCCTGATGTGGCATTTGGAGCATGAGCTGGTCAAGTGTCCTTAAAGGCAGCGCTTGGGCAGAGTGTTCTTCCTTGCAGCATGGAGGCAGAAGTGCCTGAAACCAGAGTGAGGGCTTTCCCAGGAGCCAGCTGGGGCAGCTGTGGGAGCAGGAGTGTGGGTCCCTTCCCTCCCAACTGGTGCCCTGACTCCTGCTCTGGTACACACATGCATGGAAAGACCCTTTGTGGGAGTTTAGATTTTAAACTTTCGTAGCCAACATGCTGCTGCTCGATCTGGTTTTATTGCAGCTGTTATCTACCCACTCTGCTGAATCAGCTGCTTTGGATTTTTTCTTTCTGATCTGTCCTTTCTGGAGTTTTAGGACCATGGAAAAAAAAAAAAAAGTCCCATCCGCC